AATAATATAGCTGCCTTTTAAACCAAGCCTTTTTTTTTTTTTGAGTGGTCTGTTCTTACTTACCTTCTTTGATCTTTGTTTTTTCAGGAGCTCCCCAGAGTCCTCCTCCTCCACCAGCTGGCCGAGCAGGAAGGAGCCTGGACCGTACTTCCGCTGCTGCCGCAGTACGTTGAACTCAGATGTGTAAATCACGGGCGTTTCTACCCAACACCCTCACACTCCCTAGTTTTCTTATAAAGAGGGTGTGTTTTTCCTCAGTCAGTAAGTGAAGTAAATTTGAATTTTACTTTTTATGATTACTACAGTAACCAAATTTCTTGACAGTTGATTCTTAACGTGAATAGTTGTCATTTTTAAATATGCTTTTTTCTTAAAAGATAAAATGCTTCAAGTTGATATTTGAAAATTATTTTTTTTCCAAATTGGTGGTGTTATGGAGAGAATTAATCTTAGGAACCCTAAATGTTTTATAAATGATTACTGTCTGACTTTCCTATAAGCTGAAACTATATATGGAAGAAAACTATAGAGGGAAAAAACTAGATATCTTGCCATTCTATATGTGCTTCATCCATTTCCTGCTTACCAGTTTTAAACCTTATTGTAAACTCATTTTACAGAAGTGATGACTGTAACCTCTTTCTTCTCGTCAGCTTTGCTGTAACATACAGCAGAAATTCGTCATGGATTTTCTTCTGTGAAGAAGAGACAAGAATACAGATTCCAAAACTCTTAGAAACACTCAGCAGATACGACCCCTCAAAGGTGAATATAACTTTAGTGCCAGCACTTATCTTTTGGGACAATGCTTCAAAAAGGGTTTAATTTTGATTAAGAGGTTTTCAGATCTAATAAAAACCACTTAGTTTAAAATGAAAAAGAGTGAAAGATTGTTGAGTATCTGGAAGCTGTGTTAAGTGATTCCCTTTGAGGTTTGTAGTGTACAGAGGGATGGAACTTTTAATGAGCCATTTTAAGGGAAAAGAATGTTTATACGGGTTAGTAATTTCAGAGAGTTAAAAACAATCAGCTAGAATTCAGAAAGAGCTTACCTTAGAAATAAACTTAAATTGGTTATTTCTCTTCATCAGACAGTGACCACATTTTATTTTAGATAGAAATATTTTTTTAATACTAATTGCATATTGAGGAATGTGGATGGCAGGGGCTAGAACAAAACAGACAAGGACCCTGACCACGTGGGTGGGGCAGAATAGCAGGAGAGGACAGACCATCCGAGAAGCACTTACAGTTAAAAGCGAGACATCTACAGGAAGGAAGCACAGGGTACTGTCAGATACATGCAGCAGGACATTGAACCTAATCTGGGAGGGTCAGGGCAGGAAGTGACATCTAATCGGAGTCCTGTCGGATGAGTAGGCCTTAATTGGAAAGAAGGAGGGTCTACCAGGCAGAGGGAACACTATTTGAGAAGGAATGGAGGTGAGAAGGGATGCATCTTGCATTAGAGGAACTCGATGAAGTTCACTACTGCTTTCATATTTTCAAATCTAATTTTATTAGTATGTACAGATTTGATATAAGAGTTGGATCTTGTTTACCTCAAAATCTGTAGCCCTGAGCTGAGTGCTTAACACTTAGTAGGTGGTCAGTGAATATGGCTGGGCTATATTCAAAGGCTCGATAGGTTGAGGGAGCACCTTGGAGGTATGTCAAGAGTAAATCAGGCTCATTCATTTCTCTGAAAAGCCAGGTTACGATCTCATCACTTCCTGGAGTTTTTTAAACTTGGGATAAGCAGAGTTGGGCCCTTCTGGTACCATTGGAAACTTGACCCACCTGTATCCTGATGCCCACTCCCCAAATGAAGCAGGTTTAATGAGCATACGGGAGATGAAAGGCAACCTCCTGGGTGCCTGCGTGGTTACTGATGTAGATGGAAAATGTTGGGCAACAGTGATCATTAGACTGATTTCTCAAACAGTGGAAAGTCTCTGACTATAACATTATCAAAACCACTGCTTTGGATGACCTTTAAATACTGGAAGGATCCATTATGATTTCTCTTCATGCTTTTGATTTCTGGGAAGCTACAGATATAATTGCAGGAGAAGGTCATTAGATTAAAAAATAATTCCTTCAAAGAAGAGAAGAATTATGAACCTGTCTCATCTAGTCTGTTCAGATGATGCTGACCAGCGTCTCTGCTTTTTGCCATGTTTTATGTAAACCATTTGTTAGGTTTTTATGTTTCCTTTTGACTTGAGAAAAACTCCCAAATCTTTTTTAGGATGTAGGAGTTTTAACCTCCTCCTAGTGTTCATTTCACCTGGAGATTATTTTTCCATTATCCATAGCTCTGATTCTGTATAGAAGATGGTGACTCACGGTGCTTTTTAATGAAATTGGGATGATAAATTTAAAAGTTCAAAGCAAGTTCATGAAAAGCAAGTACAGAACAGAGGTAAAAGGAGACATTTCCCCCTCTTTTCTGAGCTCTGCCATGTGGAAAAAAATATGGGATGCTTTATTTCTTTTGAAACTAGCATTAAAGAATAATAACGATTACATAATGTTGAAGTTAGCTCAAACCCCAGTGTGTTTTTTTTTTCTCCTACTGTTTGAAATCTTAGGAAAAAAGTATAAAGCAAACCTGGCTTTGATATTTACACAAATAAGCCACAATAAAATAATAATTATGTAATATGTTAAGAGTATCAGGTATTTTGTTTGATTCTGATTTTTTTTCTTCCAATATCTTTTAGTCATTCTTACTAATGTAAATTTATACTGTTATACAATATTTTAAATGTAAACATTTAATCTTTATTAAAATAATCTTTGCTAAATTGCTGTCATAGGTGATTTCCATAAATTTTCACATCTTGTTTGAAGTCTTTCCTTTTTTCCCACAATATGCTTTTTTTGTTCTGTTTTTAGACAAGGTCTTGCTGTTGCCTGGGCTAGAGTGCAGTGGTGTGATCATAGCTCACTGCAGCCTCGGACTTTCTGGGCTCAAGTGATCCTCCTAGCTCAGCCTCCCTAGTAGTTGGGACAACAGGCATGCGCCACCATGCCCGGCTAATTTTTCTATTTTTTGTAGAGACAGGGTCTTGATATTGCCCAGGTTGGTCTTGAATTCTTGGGCTCAAGAGATCCTCTTGCCTTGGCCTTCCAGAGTGCTAGGATTATAGGCGTGAGCCACATACCTGGCAGTATGTTTTTAATATACGTGTATTTGATGAAGTGTGTTGACTTTTTTGATTTACTATTAATAGTGGTTAAGTGCAGGTACCGGGAAAGAGTAATTCTAAGATACTAGTAGAACATTGTCTGAGTTATTCTTTTAAATTTATCTTGATTATAATTGTCCTTTTCATGAAGTCATTAAGAAAGTCACTAAGAAAGACTGGGGGAGTGACAATTAATATAAATTCTATATTAATTTCTCCCTTATAACCCCCACTAAAATATTGAAAAACAATCATATATACTGCATAATAGCTGAATATTGCAATTAGGAGATAAAACATAACAGTATGTTTTGCATAAAATCATGTTTCGGTAGGTTGTTTTAATAGTGAAAGACTGGTAAGAAAGTTTCCAAAATATACTAAGGTGTTCATTTTCTTTATACACGCTATATTGGCACAGCATATTAAATGTGATTTTCATATTGGTTAAGGTTTAGTAGTTTGATAAAGAGCCATATTATTAATTTTTTTAAATGTTGAGTTTTCCCTTGCAAGCTGAGGTCATTTGCCTTGGTTGTAACTGAACATTCTTCTCATCTAGAAATGACTTAATATATCCGTAGACAAAGTATCAAGAAGAAAGTCATCATATGGATCTCTGAATCTAAACATACAGTTTTAATGTTAGATTTAAACATTAATAACTGTCACATATGTTCAGTTATGACCTGTTGCTGAATTGACCAAAACTAGAACTCTGGGAGGTATTTGGGATACAACCATAAGCAGAATAAAACGCTTAAGAAATACTTAAGAGTACTTAAGTACTGTACCCTTCTTGCTTTTATACTCTGATACATAATAGATAGTGAGGTGACACTGGTTGGATAAGAGAAAAAATGTATTAAACTTTTAGAACTTAGGATACTTGATTTAAATTATGTGCTTTAGTTTCTTCAATGGGAAGGAGTTGCCTTTAAGTCTCTCCTGAGCTTGCTCCATTCATTTAACAAGAAGTCACTGAGCACCCGTGACATGTTAAGGTGTGCTGGGAATATGGTAGTTAACAAAATGGACAGCATTCTTACCCACAAGGAGGTGATATTCCTGTTTCAGGGGAGATGATCAGTAAGCAAAAATGCAAATGAATGTATAATGTGTCAAATGGTAATAAATGCTATAGAGAGAAGTAGGCAGAATAAGGGGGTAAGGGGTAGATGGGGGTGGGCTTACTAGTCTATATAGGGTGTTCAAGGAGCACCTCCCTTCACCAGGTCACATTCGAGCAGACTGTGAAGGAACTGAGGGAGTGAGCCACATGCTCCCTACTCCTGTATCGAACTTCCTGCTTAACATTAATCCCCTGCTTATGCAATAGAAACCTTAAACTCGACATACTCAAACTGAACTCTAACGCCTTTCCAAACCTCTTCCATCTTCAATCCTCCTTGTCTCAGAAAGGGCATCACTGATTATCCAGCTGCTCATGTGAAAGCCTAGGACTCATGATTGCCTCCTTTTTTTTCTCTTCAATTCCATGTTGGCATGTCCAACTGGGTCTGCTTCCAAAATATATTTCTCATTCATCTTCTGTCCACATTTATTACTACCACTTGGTCCACGCTACCATGGTGTCTTGCCTTGACGATTATTAGAGCCTCCTCACAGTTTTACTGTTCCAGTGATTTCCCGTTTCACCTAAGATGCTTTTCCTGAATATAGCATTCTAGGTTGACAGTAATTTTCTTACATCACTGTGAAGATGTTGTACCATTGTCTTTCAACTTTCATTATTTCTGTTGAAAAATCAAATGTATATGTTGCTTTTGTTCTTTGGAAAAAAGGTGTACTCTCTTCCCTCCCTTAACCCTCGCCCCCTACCCCCAGCTGATTTTAAGATTTTCTATTGTGTTTAATATCCTTTCGGATTCCTAACTTCGTGCTTGTATTATTCAGGATTTCTACTTGACTTTTGTTTAAAAATTCTAGTTCTTTGGTATACTTTTCCATATTTTCTCTATTTTATTAAACATATTAATCATAGTTATATAAAAGTCTTGTTTGATAACTACAAAATCTGATTTATCTGTGCATCTCTTTCTATTTCTCATTTTTTCTCTTTCTTTCTGGTTTGGTTTTGTTCTTGCCCTGCCTGGTAATTTTTGACTAACTGTCACATATTTTGTGTGAAGAATCAAGGAGGCTGTGGGTGATAGCACCTTCCTACAAGAGGATTTAATATTCTTTGAGTTGTAGACCTTAGTTGGGTAGGTCCAGATCCCTTTTCCTGGTAGATCCTGAACTCTAGCCTTGGTCTTCCCAGCACTACAAGACCGTGAAGGGTTTTACTTGGCCTCATAGCCTCCCCATGGCTGCTTTCTGCCTGGTTCTTCTTTTTCTGTTGGCTTTTGTGCAGCTTAGGTCATCAAGGGAAAGTTGTGTGCAGACTCCTGGGCTCATTTTCTGGGATCCCCTTAAATGTCTACCTCCCTGGCAGTCTCCAGCCCCAGCTTCTGTCTCCTAGTCCAGCGAGACTGCAGGAGTCCCAGCTGCTGCTTTTGGCTGCATGCTGTTCACAGCTCCAGGAATCCGTACTTTCCTTGAGGGAAAGAGGAGGCCAATGTGGAGCTCCCAGGGGTGGGCTTTCCAATTCTGGGATCTGAACCCTTTGTATCCTATCTGCCTTTGTTGTTTTCTGATGGCTTCAATCATCTGCTTTATGTAATTTCTCCAGCACTTATTTTTGTTCTCAGTGCAGAGTAGGTCTGATCCAGGCTATCCAATCATGGCCAGAACTGGAAGTCTTTGCACTTAGAATAAAGTTTATGCTCCTGTCCCCTGGCACACAGATGGTCTGCCTCCTGCCTGTCTCTTTCATACCTTGTTCCCCACACCTAGTAGGTCCAACCATTCTCGATTTCTCTTTTCATCTAGTGTATCGAGCTTTATCCCGCCTCAGGGACTTTGCATTAATTGCTGTGACTGCTCTTCCCTAGATTTTTGCACAGCCGGCTCCTGGATGCTATCTCAGTTCACTTGTTACATCATGAGAGATTTCCCGCTTTCCAGGGCAGCCCTTGGTCACTCTGTTCTGTTTGCGTCACAGCATGTTTCAGTCCACACCTGAAGTCATTCACTTGCCTGATTTCCATCTTTCCACAGCAGCGTAAGCTGTGTTCCTGCCTGGTGTGTGGTAGAGTCTCAATAAATAATCATTTGCCTGAATAAATAAATGAATAAAATAGGCACTGATTCTGGAAGGAATTTTTCAAATTCTTCTTTGAAAATCACAGTGGGGTATAAGGGAACACTTTTTTTTTTTTTTTGCCTTAATAGTCTTTTTATATGGAATATTCTATAAAATACCACTTTTATACATTTATGGTATAATGATTAACATTTTGTTCATCTTGATAAGATCTTGAACTATTTATGTACAAAAATTATGGTGTATTTGTTATCACAATAATGTTAATTGTCTTTTTGTTCAAATTCTGTAGAAATACATATTCTGTGCTAATAACTCTATCACCTAAAATATTTAGCTAAAATTAATCGTATAACTTTGTTTTCGGTCTTACGTGAAATGGCTTTTTTTAAAAAAAAAAAAATGACATTTTATATTTTTATTTAACAGGAATGGTTTTTAGGAAAAGCATTACATGATGAAGAATCTACAATAATTCACCATTATGCCTTTTCTGAAAATCCTACAGTTTTTAAATATCCAGACTTTGCTGCTGGCTGGGCCCTTAGTTTTCCACTTGTAAACAAGTAAGAATTTATTACACTTCTTTTTTTTCGGGGGCAGGGGGAGTGTAGATCAACTTTTCTTTCACTGAATATTATAACTGATGGCTCTCAGGATCTCAAATAGTTTTTCAACCAGAGGCGGTGTGTGGTAGGGTGGAAAGACCCGGCCAAGAAGCCGGACGTCTGAGGGGTCTTGCTTCAGCTCTGCCACTTACTAAACCCCTGGGACAGATCATTCAACCTCTGTACTTCTTCTTACTCACCTGCAAAATACGGCAAATAATAAGTTGTGAGACTGAGAGAGAGTACATAAAGTGCCCTGAGAATTATGCAGGAAGCGTCATTACCATTGTTAAGAGACCTAGTTAGCCATAGGTATAACTTTGATCACCAGTGAGAAAACAAATCAGTAACACGCTGGGGGTGGGGGTTGATGGCTGGTCATGTGCACGGGTGTGTGTCCTTAGACACGGGCGGGCATTAGGGACAGCTCGCGGAAGGCACAGTAGGTAATCATACCCAGCTGTTTGTGTGTATGATCGCAGTGATGCTTTGTAAGATGTGGAAAGTAAAGATGATTAAGTTGTAATTCAGGAGAAATATGGTCGTTGACAGGCTCTTTCTTAGTCTGAGTACTTCAGATAAATTGTTACGTGTTTTTGTTCTTTAGGGGATAGATGAAAAAGCACTTGTGGCTTTTATATCTTCAAAGATGAAGGGCTTCTATCATTAAGCGTCTTGTTTCTAGGGTTTGGGGACTTGAAAAACTTTTTAGGCCATTGTAGATATATACAGGGTATAAGATACCTTATCACTGATGGCTGGCCAAAACTTCTTGATGACTCCCTTCACATTTGAAAGTTCCCTACAGTGTAATACCTGCTTTTCCATTGTGGAATCCAAACCACACGACAACAACAAAACCCCCTATGTTTTCTAGCCTTCCTTGCTGCTAGGGTGCAGCTGTATGCCGTAGATTCTATCAGGTAGACACACTCTGTAATTCTTTTTGGGAACTGAGTTGTGTGGGGAAGGACAAAGCACAGGGCCCCATTTGGCTCGTGTGGTCGTGGCAGAGGAAGGATCATTTGGGGGTCGGCCGCTGAGACTGGCCTCCTGATGCAGCAGCTTCCTGATGGTGGCAGAGTCTGAAGCTCCCAGGATGTTGCTTTCTGTGCTGCATACCTGGGGGTTGTTCTTGGAATCTCAGCTTAGAGTCTCTCTACTCAGACTTTCCAGTAATTCTGTGCGCCATCCATGTACCTTAATAAATGCACTTTGTGCTTTAACTATCCAGAGTGGATTCTTTTGTCTCCAACTAAGAGCCTTAGCCTGTGTACCCAGTCTTGGGCCTGCCGGGCAAGGCTGCCCTCCGCCCAGCTCGTGCCAAGCATGCTTAAGAGGCTCTGCACAGTTTCCCCCTCTGTTTTTGGAAGGCTCAGGGAGAAAGGGGAGGGGAAGACAGGAAGAGGTAGTTGTCATTCCTGTCTCACCCTCTACTGGTTTGCCCGGCTCCGCTCTCTGTAAAGGACAGCAGCCCAAAGTCATATTTATTAGTTAAATAAACTTTGGTTTGCTGCAGCTTGAAGACCAGGAGCTCCCAGTACGCTCTTTTCCTGCTGTGTCCAGCAGCCTTGTGTTTGGGGTCAGTTCAGCTCCCTTTGTTCAATCTGGACTCTAAAGAACAGAAGCTCTGAGCTGCACGCCCTGGGCCGAGGCACTGCTCTTGTCCCTTCAGGATTCTTCCCACCCTCTGCCACCGAGGCTTCCTCTAGCCCTTCCTCACTCTCTCTCTACTTTGCTTCATGGCATGGAATGATTTGGTCTGACTTCACGGGAAGAGTCCCATGTGGCTGTCATCACTCTGACTTGGGAGTATGAGCTCTTCCTAAGCCTGTTTTTCTCCTGTCCCCGTAATCCAGCTAAGTGCCTTGAGAGAGGAGCAAGCACAGCTGTAACTGCCCTGTGAAATGATGCGAGCACCATGGCTTCCTCCCTGGGCTAATGAGGAAACAAGTGGACGTAGGAAGACCCTGTACAGCAGGCCCGGGGCTGTAACAATTTCTGTGAAGCCTGTATACCTCTTTTCTCCAACCCTTTCCTCTGCTCCAGGAGGCCTTTCATCCTGCAGGCAAATGCTGCTGGTCTGCAGAGTTTCGCCTTCCTTCTTTCCATCACGATTGCCCCATCTTCCTCTAGCAGAGGCCTTCTTGGAGCCCTCAATTCAGTTTTATTGGTTTAGGTGTTAGAAGTGACTATCCTTGCTTCCCTTTTGACTTATATTTTTTTTTCTTTTTTTTTTATTTCAGCATATTATGGGGGTACAGACGTTTAGGTTATGTATGTTGCCCTTACCCCCCCTCCCCCCCAAGTCAGAGCTTCAAGCGTGTCCATCCCCCAGAAGCGCATTGCATTCATTATGTATGCATATACTCATCCCCTCCTTCCCCCTCCCACCTGCCCGACACCCAATAAATGTTATTCTTATATATGCACTTAGGTGCTGATCAGTGAAACCAATTTGCTGGTGAGTACATGTGGTGCTTATTTTTCCATTCTTGGGATACTTCACTTAGTAGAATGGGTTCCATCTCTATCCAGGAGAATACAAGAGGTGCTATATCACCATTGTTTCTTATAGCTGAATAGTACTCCATGGTGTACATATACCACATTTTATGAATCCTTCATGTAGTGATGGGCACTTGGGTTGTTTTTTAACCAGGTGGATGGAAGTGATCTCCTTTGACTCCTAATATCCTCGTATAGGACGTTTGAGCCCAAACTCGTATTGCGCTGTAGTCTCACCTGTTCTGCACAACCTCTTCAGTCTATGGACTCTGCCCTCTGACCTTGCTGTTCATAGGTACAGAGGCATGTTCTGTCGGCCCTGGTTGGTGCTCACCCCATTATTATTTCCTGCTCACCGTGTGACGAGCTGCCAGGGGCCTTGTGAACCAGGGTTGCAGATTATGCACTAACTAAGATGTTATCCTTGTTAAGGGGAGACTGTACGTTATGGGTTACATGAAATTCTGCAAGGTGGTCCCACAAGAGACCATGGGCCGGTGATTGCCCTCCCTGTTGTGTTTTTGTGAGGACATTGAACATGTATCTATTTGCAAAGGAAGGTAGCCAAGTGCCCAGCTTCCACAGGAGTCTCAGATCCCCCAACTTAACAGTACTTTCTGCTGGGAAAGGAGAGAGAACTGAGGGCCTCATGACTAGCAGGGTGAGTAGGTGTTAGTCTATTTGGGCTACTACAGCAAAACACCATAAAATTACATGGTAACTTATATGGGACTTAGAAACAACAAAAGTTTATTTCTCACATTTCTGGAGGCTGGAAGTTCAAGATCAAGGTGCCAGCAGATTCAGTGTCTGGTGAGAGCCTGCTTTCTCGTTCATAGTGCCTTTTCACTGTGTCCTCACACGATGGAAGGGCAGAGGGGTCTCTCTGTGGCCTCTATCATAGGGGCACTAATCCCATTCATGAGGAATCTGCCCCCACAACCTAATCACCTCCCAAAGGCCCTGCCTCCTGATACCATCACCTTGGGGGTTAGGATTTCAACATGAATTCCGGGGGGACACAAACATTCAGACCATAACATGTAGTGAACTATGGCTAAGGGAATTAGGACAAAGAGACTAATCTTTTGTGCAAAGTTCAGGAAATTCCCAGCACTTCCCCCGTAGATTCAACATGGGAGAGGAACGAGGCACCAGATAACCTTCCATATTCTGTGTCGTCTGCTCTTCCAATCAACTGTAGACTGTGTCTAGTTAATTAATATCCATGGTCTCCCCACCTCCCCTTCTTTTCCCCTGCCAGCAAAAACGAAACAAAATAAAAATGTAGACTCTAACATAGCATGAAATAAAAAATTCTAGTTATCTGAGACCATATTTCCTTTTTCTCCTGATGCAGACAAGTAATCAAGCAAATAAAATGATATAACCCATCTGGCATAACAGCTATCTGGTGGCCAAGATGTATTTTAAAATGGTTTTCTAATAGGAGAGTCTGATCTACTCTTAAGAAACTGGTATTACATTTAGAACTAGAGAAAGCATGAAGTATCCATTAGCCCCATCAGCTGCAAAATTGGATCTTCCCAGTTGGTTTTTCCCAATTCTAAAGATAATATGCTGACTTTATTTCCTCCTTTTATTAGGAACTATATCAGTTAGCATGCTTTTGGATGCAAGTAACAGGAAACAACTCAAACTGGCTTAAGGAAATACTATTGTTGTATTGGACACGGGGTCTATAGTTGGTGGATGCAGGAGTTCAACAGTGTTATTGAGGACCCACGTTCTCACGTCTCTCCTGCCTGTAGTGCACAGCATCAGTTTACCCTGAGTCTGGTTCCTCTTGTGGTTTGAAGACAACGAGGGCTACATACTTCCTATTTGAATCCAACAGTAAAGACCCTGATGTCGTCCACCATGCAAGATAAATGCTTATCCTCAGTCTGGTTGGGCCACCTGCAGGCAGGTACCAGCAGCTGAGACTATTAATAGTTGCCAGGCAGTTTCAGTGCTTTCCTTGGTCCAGACTCCAGACTCACCAGGTTCTGACTGTGGAGCCCATTTAATTGTTGGGCTTAATAGTTAATCAAAATCAGAATGTGTTTAGGAAGAAGGAAGGGGGGGACTCTGTGTTGTCTAGGCAACCGACAGTGCCCACTACGGGACTGATGATTAACCTCTGTCTCCTTCACCTGACTTTGTGTCCCACTTTGTAGGTAGGACAACAATTTACAGTTGCCTAAGTATTTCTTCTGCCCAAGTCACCAGGATGGGTTACCTGAAGACATTTCGTGACACATACTTTTTAAGACTGTTTCCCATGAGAAATATTATTTGGCCTAGCAATCCCACATCAGTGAGGTTTGCATTCACACTACCCAACATTTCCTGGTGATCCATCCACGTGATCAATAAAAAAAATACTTGCGTCTTTGGAGACACTTTTCATTAATTTCCAATAATATGTTTTCCTCAAATATGCGTTGTTATAGAATGCTGTAACTGGTTTTCTCTATTATTTTTCCACCAGCAAACCTTATGTGGATTTCCTTTAATATCTTGCTCTGTTGACTGGTTCACAAGTGGGACTAGAAAAGTCAGCTGGGAAGTTTGCTTGTTACTGAGTCAAAGGGTCCCTCAGTCTTTCTGCACATCTGCAGCCTGGCTGGTTGTGTCATTAGAACTGTGCTATCGGGGGCATGGCTTAATACCTTCTGAAAATTAGGAAAGCTGAATACCAAATGTCATATTTGCCAGGAATGGAATATTTAATAAGGTAACATTTTATTCTAAGCAACTGGAATTTCTGGCCTTTGGCATTGTTGGTTAGTGAAATTAGCTTTGGAAAAACCCTATGCTATCTTGTGTGGTGTATAGAAAAATGAAACCTAGTTACCACTATTAACGATTGCCTCTAAAGTTGGTTAATCACCCTGCATACCCTTAGAACTTGAACACATTTGCACGGTGCCTGACTTAGGTGTGAGGTGGCTCTGAGGCTAACTCCTCAGCAAGATGTTTGTGATGTGTCGGTGACGTGACTTGGCTATGTTACACTCCATGGGCTGCGAGAGAGAAAGCCACTTAAAAATATCAGTGTACGTATTTATTTGTCTTCTAATCAGTCACTGTCTGTCTCAAAGAAATTCAAAAAGTGGTTTTCACATTTTTTCCCTCTGAGGTCTCCCTCAAAGAAAAAATTTCAAGAATTGGTTGAGAAAGAAACTTGAAATGTCACAAAATGGAGAGCATGTTTAAGGTCGCAATTCTAAGGTGTTTACTGTCTGTTAAGAAGGGGCGTATGAATGTGGCCATCCAACAATGGATGTCACGTGCCACTTAGATTCTGAACACAACTTGAGAACCTTGCTGTGGCAATAAGCCTGGGTATGACTTTCTTCTGATTCAATCTTCGGAGTCTAACGAGATATGAATTCTAACTCTTTCTGGTCTGATGAGATTTTGAAGGCCTGAGGCATGAGTCCAAATTCCAAAGTTGCCTTGATACAGTTTACTTATGAAAACTGGCTCCAATTGGGCAGAATTCAAACTGGACAAGATCCCACTTGCCAGGGCAGATTTTTTTCTCTTAATGTACATTGAGAATGTGTCTGAGGATGCCATCTCTCTCTGAGTGCTGCCCACGCGTACTCACGGATCTGTGGGCAGATACTGAACAGGAATGGGACAGGTATTACAAGGGACTGCTTTTGGTCCCAAGCTATATTAGCATCAACCACGAGACAAATGCTTTATAACAAAACATAAATTGAACCTGTCTGCCTTCTTTATCTTTCCTCTAATCAGAAATGAATTTTCATGGCCCAACCAGACCAAGATGTAATTAAAAACTCAATAAAAAATTTTGAAACTTATTGCTACTCTTCCTTTTTAAAATCACTATTATTTCTTTGTAGTTAAACTAGGTATTAGGAGGTTTGTAGTTGAAACTGATGGTCTAGTCTGTGGCTCTGTAAACAAATACAGAGCCACATGGTATCGAAGTGATCTAGGAATGTAATCCTACCCATCAGCTTAGAAGGAGAGAGTATATTGCCCTCATTCACTCAGGGGCGCCTCAGTGCTCGTGTTGCCCAGGTACGGTGGGCAGTGCTGGTGACACAAAGCACAGCACAGAGAGGGATGTGTGCACAGCAGGTTTTAATGCATGTGACAAAGCTGCCAGGGCTGTGCTTTGTGCTCTCGGAGCAAAGGAGATTTCCACTTATTCTGGTGGACAAGTCTGGAAACGTTTCACAGACAAGGTGTCCTTGAGTTTGGTCTTGAAAAGGAAAAGTTTGCTAAGTAAAGGTTGGGTGTGGGCACACGAGGCAGGTGTGCAGGGCAGGAACAGTGGGGAGGCGTGTGCTCTGGGTACAGCAAGTGGGTGTAAGACTCTGGGGAGGGCGGGGGCGAGGCCGGGGCCCTGCAGGCTGGCTCGGGAATTTGAGGCTTTATTCTTCATGGGAAAAGAGCCGTTGAAGATTTTTTAAACAAGAAAATGACTTGAAATAAAACTGTTGTTCTTCCCTGAAACCACATATTTTTCCTCATAAAAACCCCTTGATCTGTCGTTCATTATGGTAGGAGACAAAAAATAACAATGTTTGTTTCTCTTTCAAGCACCTTTTTTTCCCCTTTTCTTTTTCTTTCTGTGTCATTATTTAGTCCACTAAATAATGTTGTTAGGAGTCAACAAACGTCATGGCTTTTCTTTTTCAAGGCATCTTATTTATTGTATTGTATCCTACATTGTCGAGCAGATGTTGAAATGCTACATTTGCAAGAAGTCTCGCATTCATTTATGGTCAGAACCATTGCATTTTCACAGTCCTTTCCCTCAGAGAAATTAAGCTCTTATTTTTATTTTAAAATTTGTATGTTTATCTGTTTTCAAACATTAGAAAGTCTCAACAATGTGTTATTCTTGTTTGACACTTCTTTTGGTTAAAAAAAAAAAAAAATCAAATTGTCTCTATTTTCTAGGCTTACCAAGAAATTAAAGAGTGAATCCCTGAAATCCGACTTTACAATAGATTTAAAACATGAGGTACGTCATGTTTTGTTTGGTTAAAAGCCTTAATGATCCAGAATTCATGTCATTTGGTGTAAGAAGTGTTTTGTATCGCCTGGCAGTGTGCTTTCCCCACCCACACGCATCTGCTCCCCGCGGAGGTAATTGCATAGCACTCCCGTGAATCGGGTCCTTCTATTTTAAGCTCATTTTGGTTATGTAGGTGAAGAAAGAGCAGTGAAAAAGGTTGCCTCTTGTCATTCATGAGTCTTTGTTTTTAAGTTAGATGGGTGGATCCAGAGGTGGCTTTCTAAAAACATGCAAAAATGTCGTTAAAATTCCTCTGATTCCTTTGGGTGTACATGTGCTGCTATAGATTGAGTGTGCGTGTCCCCCCTGCACCAATTTGCATGCTGAAACCTAATCCCCAAATAAATGGTCTTTGGAGGTGGACCTTTCGGAGGTGGTTAGGTCATAAGGGTGACAACCTCATGAATGGATTAGTGCCCTTATGACAGAGGCCCCAGAGAGCTCCCTCGCCCCTTCTATTGTGTGAGGACACAGCAGGAAGGCACCATTCATGAGCTAGAAAGCTGGCTCTCACCAGACACCATATCAGCCAGCACCTTGATTTTGGACTTACAGCTTCCAGAACCATGAGAAATAAATTTCTGTTGTTTATATGCCACCCAGTCTGTGGTATTTTGTTATAGCATCCCAAACAGACTAAGACACATGCCTTTGTCGTGTGTCTGTGCCTGGTTCTCTAGAGCGGAATTGAACCAGTTGGTCCCAAGCAGGCAGCCACGATGTGCCTGCCGGGGCCCCCAGCACCCCTGCTTCTTTGGCATTTAGTGGACATCTGTGACCAGTTATCCTGGAGGCAGGTGGCAGCTGTCCCATCATTAATCATTCCCAAATCATCATTAAGGAGGCCTCTTTTTGCATTTCATTTATGGGCATGTCTGACTCCCTGAAATAGACTTTTTCTCACTCTGCAGGAATCCGTATCTTATGACATTGAGGTAAATCTTGACATGTAATTCAGCCCAGCAGTGTTGGCAGCCTGCTAGGAGTGAGAAGGGCACACATAAGACTTTCTAACTTGGGTGTCTTTAAATGATGAAACAGCTTATTTGAGAAGAAATATACTTTTCAAAAAATCATTCTTCTCTTCCACAAAGAGGAAAGAATGACTTGTTGAAAATCAGGGTCTGCTGAGAACCTGGTTATAAGTCAGAGCTGGTATAGACACCCTGGTTTGGAAATCTGTTAAACATCGAATATGTACAAGACAGCATCTCTGACATATACGAGGGGTGTAAAGGTCAATTAACCAAATACCTACGCAGCCCACCTGGTTCAAGAGGGAGACCGTAACCGGTTGCCTCAAAGCTGCCTGTTGGTTTGCTTCTCCGCAGTGGAAGTCCCCTTCCACCTCCCCAGAATGAGCACGCTCTTGAATCGTCTTTCCCTCCTTTAGTCTTCTTCCTATTTTATGACAAATGAGTGAATTTCTGAATAACACATTATATAATTTTGTATCTTTTGGGTTGTGTATAAACAGAACTGTACCACAAATATTGCTGTAATTTAAGACTCATCCATGCTGATAGATACATGCAGCTCTAGTCAACTTCCTTTCACTTTCTGCGGTCGTCTCCCATGTGCCTGTAGGAACTTACCCACTGTCCTGTTAGCAGGCTTCCGGACTGCTGCTGTCTTTTGCTACTGCGATCATTGCTTCTGTGAATGTTTTCCACGTGTGTCGTGATGATCCTCTGCAAGAGTTGCTCTAAGGCAGAGGCTGTGAAACTTTTTTTTGACTGTGACCCACTTTAAAAAAATACATTTTTCCTTGGGACCCAATGTATTTATGTGTATTGTTATTGTGTTTTTGTTATTGATTTGTAACTTAGCATTATTACAGTCTATGTAGCAGTCATTTGAAACACTTTTAGGCTTACTTTATGACCTAGTTCATGTTCAGTTTTTATAAAGGGAGAAAAGGACATATATTCTCTAGTTTAGAGGAGATAATATTCTTTTTATATTTATTAGTATTAGATTAAAGAAGGTATTAATTGTGCTTTTCAGATATTTTATTTCCTTCCTTTCTTTCTCCCTTCTTCTATTCTGCTTTTGTTTTCTGCTATCACTTACTAAGAGAGGAATGTGGAAATCTTCCTTAATAAGGTGGATTTGACAATTTCTTCTATGGAACTAACAATTCTTGTTTTTTATACTCTGAGGCTATGTTAATTAGGTGCATAAAAGTTTAGGATTATTACATCTTCTTAGTGAATCTATCTTTATCTCTAGTAATACTCTGTCTCATTGTTTATTTGATTGACAGGAATGCTGCTGTCCTGGTTTTCTTTTCATGTTTGCCTCATCGTTTTTCCATCTTTTTCTGTCAACCCTTTTCTGTCCTTACCTTTTAGATGTGTCTCTTTTAAAGAGAACGTGCCTTTTTCATCTCCCAGTTTGACACTGTTTACCTTTAAACCAGATAACAAATTTACTTTACATTGATTGTAATTACTAATAAATTTGAATTGATTTCTATTACTTTATCTTCCCCCCATTTTCTATTGTTCTTTTTGAAACTTTCATGCCACCTTTTTGATTTTTTTTCTTTTCTAGTTCATATTTTCCTCCTTTACTGTTTTGGAAGTTCTATCTCTACGTCTGTACTTAATTGGTTGTTTTAAATATTTTAACATGCCTTCATGACCTAACAAGGGCTCATTGATCAGCATGCAGAAAATCAAGGGCCTTAGAATAATTTACCTCTGGTTATCCCACCCCCAATTTATATGCTATTGTTGCCCAGTATTTTTGATCTGGCTTTTTTACCCTGAAACTTAATTATTATCATTACTTTATGCAGTTAACATTTGTATTAGCTTCATCATAGATTTGCCAGTGTTTTTCTTACCGTTCCATCTTGCTTCTTGGACCTTACAATTAGGATCCTTTTTATTCTTACTGAAATGTATCCTTTAGAATTTCATTTAGTGAGGTGGTAAATTCTCTCAGCTTTTTATCCTTCACACTATTTATTTCTACTTTGTTCTCGAAGCATGGTGCCATCATGTGTACCATTCTAGATTGTCAGTCATTTTCTCTTATCACAATGGTGTGATTTCACTATATTCTGGCTTCGGTTATTGTCGTGTTGAGAAATCCGTCCTTAGTCCATTGTGGTTCCTTTGTAGGTAATTTGTCATTTTTCTGCCTACTTTTAAGATTCTTTGTCTTTGATATTTCACAGTTTCACTAAGATGTATCTCGATGTAGACTGTTTTTTCTAATCCTGCTTAGGATTCACTGGGTCCTTCTATAAAAGAATTATAAAGCAATATTTGAAAATTCTCAGCCATTATCTTTTCAACTGTGTTCTCATCTCTATTTTCTCTGTTGCCTTCTCCTGGAACTTTAGATGTGTGCTAGAGGTTTGATTGAACTTCTCTTTTACATTTTCCATCTATATTTTTTGCTGTGCTACCTTTTAGATAATTTTAGGGGCCTCATTCTTTAGTTCCCTAAATTTTTATTCAGCTGTGTCTAATATGCTATATATCCTACAATATTTTTTATATTAATTATTAATACTTTTTATTTCTATACATTTTGTTCAGTTATTTTTCAAATTTGCTTTCTTTGTGTAGTAGTTTTCAAAAAAAATTTTGCTCATGTTTTAAAGTTTTTCTTTTCTTTATAAAAATATATTTAGCATAGTAATTTTATAATTTGTGTTTGATAATGCCAATATCTGAAGTCTTTGGGTCTGATTAAATTATGTCTGCTGACTCTTGCTCGTCATCTCCTTTCTTTGTACTTTTTGTGATTTTTCTCTGAGTGCTCTTGTTTCTTTGGAAAAATCCTCTGAGGCCTGGATGAAGGTTGTGGGTTGCTGAGCTTCTGCCTGCTGCTGTGGGGTAAACTGACTCGGGACCACTTGAAATTACCATGTTTGAGGCGTTTTTGAACCTCATAGGTGGCACAAATTAGGGAGGCCTGGCTTTGGTTGTAAAATCTCAGAGGAGGTTTGGAGATTATTTCTTCCCTCCATTTAGCTCCAAGGTCCGGGGTTTACGTGGGGTTTGCTGTTGGCCACGCCCCACCGTGGGGTGGTCATAGGCTTCACTCTCCTCCTTCCTCAGGGAAACTGAGTTGCCCAAGGTCGGCGGATGCCTGCTGGGCAAACTACCCTGGGTGCCCTTCCCCCAGGTCCTCACTGTCACGTTTTTGTCCTCACAGGTTCCACGCTTTTGTGTCAATTTTGCAAGACATTTAAAATGGTTTTAAAGGCATTTTATCCAACATTTTCAGGTGTTTTCAATAGGTTGTCTATTCAGGCTGTGTAGTTACCACACTGCAGGAAAGCAGAGCCTTGATAGTGTTATCTCACATCTCCCTGTGCTGTTACAGAAGGTGCTTTTCCCTAAAACCGCCGATCGATGACCTTGGGAGTTTTTGGAAGTCAGAATATTGATTCATAGTTAATTGCTTACTGTTAACAAAAGATTAGATCCATCAATATGGAATTGCCACTTTTTAAGTAAAAAAAATCCTGTCGAATATTGACAAATTGATATGGTCCAATTTAATATTCTCTGGAGAAGGTGTATTCTGCCTTTCTGTAAGATATTTTGTCCTGTCTTACCCTTGCGGTGTTGTTGAGTTCTTCACTGCCCGTCTCCTGTCTTGGACAGATTGCCCTCTACATCTGGGACAAAGGCGGAGGGCCTGCCCTCACCCCAGTGCCTGAGTTCTGCACAGATGGCGGGGACTCCGACTGTGCTACCACATTCCGTTCCTTTCTACCACTTTGCGTAAGTAACAAAAGAAAAACTTCCTTGCACATCAAAGGAACATTTGTGTGCTGTGTGTAATAAAATCAACCTTTGCCCTGTGTCCAAAGAACTATCTATCGTGTCTCTAGTGATAACAGCATTGTAAGTTAAGTGCTGTTGTTAGCCCATCTCACATATGGAAGAGAGAGGCACAGAGAAGGTAAGCGCTTGCTCAAGGCTGCACAGCTGGAAGCAGGGGAGTGAGGGTTCTGACGGGTTCCCTCTCACTCCAGTGCCTCTGTGAAGTCCTGTTCGCCCCAGCTCTTCAGAACCAATGTGCCCAGTCTTTTCTGTGGTTATTATATAGGATGTGTTGATTGGAATTTCTGTTCCATTTCTTGGAAAGGCAATTTCAAACGTTTTCTGTGACACCCAAACCTTCTCCACAAGCTCATTGCCTTTACTCTCTCAGCAGAGGACCCTGCCTTTGATCTCACCTGAGACCATCTAGGACTTTCAGAATAAACTTACTGGTCATGGCGGACCCTTGGTCCAGTCCAGGTTGAGCCCGAAGACCCTGAAACTCACTAGGTTGTTAAGTTTTCCTAAAGGAAAATACATTCACTAACCTCAAATGTTTGTTATTCTCAAGTCGGTCACACAGAAGTTTGTGTGTGCTGTTTTAAAAGACAACATAGTATAATGTGGGGGAGAATCTGTAAGGTGTGTGCATCTCCTGTAGGGAAAATCAGTCTTTCTAGATGCAATGCTTGCTTGCTCTTTAATGTCTCTCCTGGTGCCTTGAGTGACGTGACTAGCTGTGGCCAGATGTCACCGTAAACCAGCCCCAAATGATGTAGAAGTTGTGATTGAATGTTATTACAGGCCTGAGGCAGGTAACAAAGGTATCAGGACACCCCCCGCCCCACCCCCCGTGAAGGCCTTGCCTGTGTGTTGTTGACAAATCTCTCTGTGCGCCCCTTTCGTCTGTGTGATCAGCCTGGGCTCCAGGAACTCCCCACCCCATCCCCGAGGTGTTTGAAGTAACCCTACCTTTGGCGGAGAACAGAACATCCTTAGCCTAGACTTGGGTAACCAGTAAAGGGGCCATAAAAATACTTTCAACATTAAAGTTAGGCTGGGCCCAGAAAAGGGAGTCATCTCTTATTTTGCACTGCAAGATCCCCCTACTTCCTTCTCTTTGTCAAGATCTTCACAGCTGGAAAAAGGAAAGGGAGTTAACTAACATTTATCGGTCACTTGCTACGTGCTCAGTAAATGTATGTTAACAATAGCAACCTTATGGTGCTTACTGCTCCCTTTTTCTAAGTGAGCAGACCGAGAGCTTAAGGAACTTGCTAAGGTGATGCAGTCTGCAGGGCAGAGCTGGAAGGCAGGTCCAGAGCCCGCTGACTTCAAAGGCTATATTGTCAGCTGAACTACAGTTCCTTTTCTTCCCTAAAACTTTGTCCTGGAAATAGGTTTGATATCCCTCACATGGGTTAATTTGAACTCTAGAGCATGTGAGATCTAACATAGGTGTGAAGTTAGGATAAGGCTGACTCATGTGCATATATTTTTCTTGTTTTTTAGGGAGAACCAGTGAAGAAGGAGAATATTTTTGTTGCAGTAAAAACATGCAGGAAATTTCATGGTGACAGAAGTATGTTTTGGGTTATTCATTTTTATTGAACCTTTAAAATCCAAACTGCCTTTTAAAAGAAAATAAAAACCAGATATAAACTCAAAAAAGGAATAATGACAAATGGGATGTCAAAGTGAAAGCAGTTCGGCATTCCTCCTTGCACGGCTGCAATCACCAAGACCGATTAGGAAGGACTGTTGGGTATGGAAACATGAGAGTTCATAGGCGATGCTGTTTGCAGCAGTACTGTAAGTTGGAAATGGAAAAGCTCAGTTGTGGCGATCTAGGAGACACTGTGAATTAACAATCTGTTTTGTCAAACAGCGTTCTATTATATCCACCCACAGTCTCTGAACTGTATAAAGAATATTAGAGCGGATTTCAAGGTAACGGAGTGCCAGCAAAGAATCTTTTCTTGAAGACTGTTCCTTCTTTTTATATCTATTTCCAGTGCACACATTGGAACTGTTTAATAAAGAAATGTATTTGCTCATGAGTAGATATATTGGAAAAAAAGAAAAAGCTGCCTTAGAAACAGTGATCTCTTCTTAAGGAAATCCTGGCATGCAGACGAATGTTGTTTTTATTCAAGTTTTTGGTGTCATTACAGAATGCTGCCAAGTTATGGTGATAATGTAAAAAAAACAAAGACCGTCCTACATATAAATAGACATAATTTCTCTCTTTTTGTACCTTATTTCAAGCAGCACTTTTCTGAAATTGAAAATTAGGCAGTCTTTTGCATTTTCTAATTTTAGCACATATTTTAGTTTTTTTCCATGAAAAGACTGTCAGTTTCACCAAGGATGTGATATTTATGCAGGAGAGATTTCTAAACCAGCTGTCATTTTCATGGGATTGGAGCTATGGGAGAAAGTTCATTTATATATTTGATATGATAATACATATGCAAGTTGTATTTTAAAGAGGAAGATGTTTTAAAAATAAAAGAATATTATAATATGGGATTAAAGTATTATCTAAGGCATCAACATCAATAAAAATCTAGTTATAATCTACACTATCTTAAAAGTACATTAACTATAAACCTTCATATTTGTCTAAAATAGTCACGTTAAATTCCAAATTCTATTAAATCATCCTAAATAAATATATGCATTTGTTATACAAGGAGTCCTAAAACACTATGAAGAATCGATATAGCAGTTAAAATAAATTTTTCATTTATCATAAATTTAGCCTGAATTTAATATCCTTTTGCTTTTTTCATGATCTGGAAGGGCTTTGTGAATTGATTTTGACAAATATCCCTTTAAAAAGGTGTCAGGAAAATTAACTGGACTGCATTTTATTTTATCTTCTTTTACAGCCAGCAGAAGTGTTTGAATTGCTATAATTGATCTTGAAGCCGCCCTTGGAGTAGTGATTGCTTTCATAATATTAATGTTCAGAATGGTGGTGGTGGTGGTATTTTTTTCTTCGGAAACACATTTTGCAAATGATAGCGAAGCCATAAAATTACAGATACTCCTGTTGTATTTTTCATATCCTACAAAAATGAAGAAAAAAAGTTTTTTTAATTGTAATTTAGTAATTTTGAGTAATCTTACTGCTTTCTTACTTTTGCATAAGGTTGAGATAATCTTTTTAGATATCTATGAAATGCTTTTATGTTTGAATTTTGAGTCAAAGGTCTTTAAAAATTACAAAATCTTAAAAAGCCCATTAGGAGCGTTATTAAAAACAAACTTCTTGCAGCTGGATGCATTGATTTGCTGCTGTTAATTTGATTCTTGGGGTCACGGAAGCATGAAACCTAAAAGGTATCATGAAGCTTTTACAGTTGGGTTTCTGTGGCAAGCTGTCTTTCAACTTGGATGCGTTTGTTTGAAAAGATAGTCTAAGGCTGCAGGATTTTAGGGACCTGATGTCCATTTTACATGAAGGAAGTGAGGCCTGCTAGGCCATTGGGTTCTGCCTCTCTTTTTAGAGGTCTAGACTAACCACCAGTTGGCCCAAAGAATTGTCCAGTAATCATATCAGTTACAATGACAACGCCACAATAACTGCTTCTAACTGCTCATCTTTTTTACATTTTCTGGTGTGTTTTTCACATACATTCTGTCATCTAATTTCATTTTAATAGTTCCTTGTGATGTGATAATTATTGTTACTCACTTGATATTATAGAGATGATGTAGAGTAGTATGGAATGATACACAACTGGCCCAATTTCTTGTAGCCTATCGAGCAGGGGAGCCAAGGACTCCGGTATTCTGACTCCTAACTCTCAGACTCTTTCCACCATGGCACAGCTATACTGTAATCTCCTTGGATGTGTTAACAAACCCAACACTTGATAGATGGTCTTTGTTATTCATGTTGATGCCCTGCTATGTTCAAGGTCCGGTTTGACTTGGCCAGAAGCTGGGAAGGTGGCTATTCATTTTCAGTAGCAATGGGGATAGCAAGGAACTGAAACCCGCACAGGATCTGAAATACAGGTCGAGCTGGGAATTTAGGCTGCCACTCCTGTCTTAGCATATCACTGCTGCAGTCTAGCAGAATACATGGACTGGGGTGCTTTTTTCACTTTTCTTTCCCTGTGCACTCCGGTAGAAATACTGGAAGTAACAAAGGCTAAATGACAGTGAAGAAAAAAAACATGGGTAAGAAACTGTATTTATCTTTGGAAAATTGAGAGTGGGCTATACTGATACTTGTGGGCACACTGTCCCCAGGCACTAAGCAGAAGAGGACACTAGCGATGGCCCCCACTGCCGGTTTATTATAGTGTTGGTCACCTTCCGGGATGAGGATGAGGGAGGGAACACATTCCAGTCGAGGCTCTCATCACCGTAGTCATGGCGGAGGGGAAAAAAAAAAAAAAAAAATTTTTTTTTTTTTTTTTTTTTTTTTTTTTTTTGCCTAACAGTGAAACATTTCTGTAACTGCTTTTGTCTGGATTCTGATTTAAATGAAACAGAGCATTCTTAGGACACAGTTAGCAACAATATATTCTGTTAGAAAAAATATATTCTATCTTTTGGTTCAAGAAAGTAATACATATTGACACCATTGAAACAGCAACACTGAGAGGCAAGCATTTAGTAGGGTATTAAAGAAACTGTAAGTATTATAGAAGGTGATGAGTTGGGAATAGCATGTGAAATTACATTTAAGCAAGGAGATCTCTGGAGTTTTAATATTCAGCTTGATTACTTCCTCTTGGGTTATATGTTTTCCATGGTGTGATGTGAGCTGTCAGAAAACCTTAAGAATTTTCTTTGCATCATTTTGCCATGCAGTTTGTGTGCATGTCTCATGTACCTCGTGACAGCCACTGTCTTTGTTCATCAAATGGTGCGTTATGGGACGCTCTTCTCCTGCGGTCTCCCTCTAATTAAAAAGGTTAAATTGCTATTTGCTCAGCCTTTAGTTCCTTTTCACAGCTTCCTGAGCTCTTAAAAATTAGCACCTTATTTCTTTCAGTTTTGTTTCTTTTTTAAAAAAGAAACCTGTTTGCTATCTTTACTGCTGTGATCTTGTCTAGAAGAGGCAAATCTGAACAAATTGATTAAAAGTAATATTTGGTGGCTGGTGTTCTCTCATTAAAGAGGCTCACAGGTACTGCAGCACAATCTGCTTATTTAAAAGGTGAGGCTTGAATTAAAATGCAGCCAGATGGAAAGCCACACTCTAATCAGACGAGGTGATTAGATTAATTATTGAAGAGAGGAGGGGGGTCAGGTGTTGCCTGGTTCAGTTCTTTCCCTGGCCATCGAATTGCAGATATTCCAGATTGCCCTAGAATGTTATTTTAGATCATCTAGGAGGGATGCTTTTCTGTCTTAGAATTGGAGCACGCTCTTGTTGTGTGTGTCCTGAGCCCTCTCCTGAGAAGTGCAGTCAGGGCTTTATTTTGTGGACACTGACACACAAGGTCCATCTGCCGGGCAAAAGGAGCAGATTCCTTAAAATCAAAACAGCCATTCACATTTGTTTGTGTTTGAGTTTTTATAAAGTGTTCAAGCATCAAGTTCATTGTCATTTGTAATCTGAGACAGTTTTGCAAGTCAATTTCCTGGGGGTAAAAATGTGTGTTCTGTCCTCATGGTGAGACACACCTCCTGCTTAGAGTCTAGAAAATTCTAAGGAAGATTTATGCCATCTGTGCCTTGGGGTTTTTTATAGTAAAATTTTTACTTTGTTCCGATTTTAAGCTCTTCTGTGGCAAACTTTCTGGAAAGAAGCTTTCACTATTATTTTATTATCTGATAAAAAGTATGCTCCTCTTTATTGAAAATGAGATACTGTATCATGTAACTGTATTGAAGTATTTTCTCAAAGTTTAATATCTTTAGAAATACAGTGCCTCAATACAACATAAAATATTTTGTAAATAATAGAATGAATTCATTTTAGAATTTAAATAATGCTAATAAAATAGACCAATATTTTAAAAGTTTAACCTATTCAGAATCAACCCTGGTTGAATATAAAGCCTCAACCTGCTATTATAGAAGACTTAACCTTGGCTTTAAATTCTTTACGGCTCGTAGATAGGACAAAAGCACAGGTATTATATTAATAAGGGGAGAGATGATACAAAGTGCTAACTGCTTTCTGTCTTATAGAATCATACTATTTTGAAATGGTTGGCCTATTTTTAAGTGATTAATAATGGTTGTACCCGTCTTGTACCAAAGGATGAATTGCCATTTGAATAAAACCTTCCTTTAAACTAGTTTCCAAAAATAGCCCTAGGCCTTTTATTGAAACGCCTATAAAATTTCAGTCCTCATTCAAGTATTTATTGAGCACCTACTATGGCCTAGGCACTGTGCCAGGCATTGGGGAATGAGTCACACACATAGTAATTCTTACCTTTAGTATAATATGTTTCACCTGTTTCAAATTAAACCTGAAAGGGCTTAGTAAGGTATAGCAATGGAAGAGCTAACTCATACTTGATTTTAACTTCATTTAAGTCAGCTAATTGAGAAGAAACAGCTGTGCTGTTTAATAAACCTATTAGAGCAAAAAGGACTGAAGGCCTAAGGGCTGAGGAATTGAAAGCAGCGTTTGCACAGCCTGCAGGACCCATGCTGGGGCCTGAGGAAAGTTCTTAACCTTTCCTCACAGCTGCTTCTAGCATTGTGCAGTGGAGGACATTTAACCCAAGAGTGTGAACTTTTAGTGGCTGCAAACTGCAGGGAGCCCTTTCTGGGGTAAGTCCTCTCATTATATGCGAAGCAAACTGCCACTGCAGTGCCTGGGTTGAGATTTTTTGTTCTGCTGAAATCTGGAAGTAAAACAGACTGAGGTTTTTAAAAACTTCTTTTTCCTTTCTTGTCTCCCAGCAACCCTATCTATTATTTAGTGTGAATTTGACCATTTTGACATGGGGAAATACTGAAAACTGTCTCCCTTTCTGTGGTTGCAGAAAAATTATATTTTATTATATGAAAATAATATTTAATGGGTAATTTGGTGATAATTTTAGCAAATGTCCAGAACTCATCATTATTTTTCTTTCTTGAAAGCCAATGAATAATGGATTATAAAATGATACACTTTTGTATTTTATATATACGGAATTTCTGAGCTAGACTCAGAATTTGCTGATGTATGCAGCTAAACACTGAAATTTCACATTGCAGTGTCAGCTTTTGTATATAATTTGTTTTGATTTGGGCCTGGAAAAAGGGAAAGTTACATGATCTGATAAAGCCTCAAAAAGTTAAGTGAAAATTTGGTTCATCAGAGTTTAGATTCTTAACGGGGTGTAAAATCTAAATGTGGTCTTTTCTATTTAAAAAACAACAGAAACCTTTTAAAATTCAGAGGTGCATAGAGAGTAATTCTTTTTATAAAGTATAGAAGAAAATAATTACTTGGAGAGTTGGTGAGGTGAATTAAGTAGTGATCAGTCTGCATGTCAGGTATGCAGACAGATCTACCTTTGAGCATCTAAACAAAAATACAGAAAACCAGGAAAGTTTTCTGTTGTTTGTGTTTATTATGTTAAAACAATTTATCTGTTAATGATAGAGTTTTAAAGTCTGCAGTGGTTCTCAATCTTACTTCTTGCACACTTTCCAAAAGTACATCATCATAATACCAGCCATCATATGCAGTAGTTCTCTTTGTAGGGGTGGATGGTCCTGTTAGAATCTTTGGGTGGGGACATGGCATAGTTTGCAAAGGTCTTCCCACACTCCTTTGTAAGAGGGACAAATTTATATATCAGCCAGAACCACAGTGAATAGTAACATCCTTGGAGGTACTTACATTCCCCACCTGTCCAAAAACACATTTTAAATATCCACTTGTTGGTATGTTAAATGAAATAACCTATTGGGAAAAGAGAAAAATTAGCTAAAATTAATTTAAACACAACAGTATAATCAAACTAGAAAATTTATTACTGTATGCAAGTAAGTGTATTTATCACCGGGAATGAGAAATAGTTGACCGTGGAGGATATTGAAAATGCTCCAAGAAGAGGGTTTCAATCATGCTGTCCCCAGCAGTGTTGGCACTTCTCAGGGTTGGAAGCAAGCTCTAAGTCTTGGACTGCCTGAAGAACAAGTAATGTTTCTCTTCCTTTGCAGGTGATTGTGCTGCTTTTTTGAGTTTTCAAGGTTGCCTATATAATTGTGCCAGTGATTGTCACCTCTGTAATTTTTTCAGTACCCATCGTAAAGCAGACTTGGGAGGGACAAGCAAGTCTCATCGAGTACTACAGTGACTATGCTGAAAGTTCCATCCCTACTGTGGATTTGGGAGTTCCTAATACGGACAGAGGTGGGTCCTTAATTCTTACTACTCTGCTTATTAAAAATCCCCATTCTGTAAATATAGTAAATTAAGTTAGGATAAAAATGAAATATTTTATAAGTACTATAATTTTTGTTTCATGTACATTTTTTTCCTTCTTCCTCCATCCAACATCTTTACCCACAGATACAGACTGGTTCTTTCAAATTAAGGGCTTTATAGTACAAATGGTTGCACATTTTTAGTAGGTTACGTTGCTATAGTTGAGCACGTGACAGTTACGATAGAGTTTAATGGTAGGTTTTTCATACCTTCAGGGTTCATTGCAGCTATAGTGAGGCATCCAAAGTTAATTTATCATCTTCCCACACAAAGCTTCTATCCTCAAAAGCCTTATAGTTCAGTTCACATTTTGTATATATCTCTGAGTAGCACCTACCCACATCCTATACTGGTTATATGTAGAATAAGCTCTGTTATATGTTTTTTTTTTTTTTGAAACAGAGTCTCACTGTGTTGCCTGGGCTAGAGTGCCGTGCCATCAGCCTAGCTCACAGCAACCTCAAACTCCTGGGCTCAAGCGATCCTCCTGCCTCAGCCTCCTGGGTAGCTGGGACTACAGGCATGCGCCACCATGCCCGGCTAATTTTTTCTATATATTTTTAGTTGTTCAGCTAATTTCTTTCTATTTTTAGTAGAGACAGTGTCTTGCTCTTGCTCAGGCTGGTCTTGAACTCCGAACCCAAAACAATCCACCCGCCTCGGCCTCCCAGAGTGCTAGGATTACAGGCGTGAGCCACCACGCCTGGCCTACATGTTAATATTCAATTAGTAAATTGTTGAACGTACACCTGCTTTTCTCTTCAGATTGCAGGTTTTCTATTTAAAAACCTTTTTTTTTTTTTTTACAGTTTGAAATGGTTTATTCAGTATGTTTTACTTTGAAGTATAATTTTGTAGTAAATTGCACAGATTTCAAATATAAAGTTCTATGACCTTTACCTCCATAAACATGTGTGCAAACAATACTGAGGTTATGACCCAGAATGTTTTCTTCCCCTCACAAAGTTCTCTTGTGCCCCTCAGATTCTTTTTTTTTTTTTTCTACATATTATGGGGGTAAAAGTGTTTAGGTTACATTGCCCTTGCCCCCCCTCCCCCCAAAAAATGGAAGTGTAAATTTGGCCATTTCATCTTCAGATGTTCTTTGTTCATCTTAATTTTTATCTAGTGTTCCTGCCACATTTTTTCTTACTTTTTGGTTCTACATAATATTTTATGAATAAAAAAATAAAAGTTGTGAGCTGATTATCTTGTTCTATAATTTATCTTGATTATTTTATGTCAGTGTCACTCATAATTCCTTGATTATTGCAGTACCGTGTAAAATGAGGTATGTCATTGCTGTAGTTTTCAAGTCTTCTAACAAGATTAAGGATATTACTGAGTGAGTCTGTTGCTGTTTGTTTTGGGAAAACTATTTTAGATGGAATTTTCTTTTGTTCTTGTTAACCTCACTTTTTGAGACTTCAGTTTAGATTGGCTTTAATAATCATTTATTTATTCATGCATTCCTTATTTGATTTCTTCATTTATTTCTAGTCTGACCTTATCATTACTTGTGTTTATATTTTATTCCAAAAGGAATTTGAGATGGCTTTCAAAAATATATATTGTAATGGTTAAAAATAAAGAGATCAAGAATAAGGAAAATAAAGATCAAATAGAATGGTTTGATATTAATTAATGTAAGTTAATATTTGTTCTCCACTGAGTCACCAAATGATTAGTCACACGAGGGGCATGTTCCTATCTATCAACTTGAGTTCTCTTCCCAAGCATTTTAATCTTATCTCAGTCCAGGCATTTACCATTAAAGCATTGTAATTTATCTGTTGGTATTTGAAGGGTGCCTCTCATTAAGCAACGTATCTTTAGTGCATATCTTAGTACCTGCCACAGTATCTGGCATGTTAGAAACTTAGTGGTAAATATTTACAAAATAAATGAAGGTATAATCTTCCACTTTTGCATGTTGCTTCCCTGTGGTTGCAGAGTTCTAACGGTTCCTTCATAATGAACATATCTAAGAAAAGCTGCCAGGCTTCTATAATTGCCGTGAGGCTTACAACTTTCTTGTTTGTCTGGACTGAAGATACTAATTCTGTCTCTGCCTCAGATTATCTCTGTGACTGTGTGTAATCTCCCCAGTCTCTCTGGGTCTCCATTTCCTCCTGTGTGAAATGAATGGCTTAGATGTCATGATCTGTAAAGTTCCTGTTGGTTCACTATGTCTATGAACATTAGAGAAGGCTAATTTTTTTTTTTTAAATTTCAAATTAAGGTACATGTTGTCTTCCAAGTTCTTACTTATAACACTTTAAAAAAAAAAAAAAGAAAAATTAAATGAATTCTATAGATTGTAGAGAAAGTAATGCATTTTAAGTTTTCTTCTTGCCTTCCCTAGGTCATTGTGGAAAGACATTTGCCATTTTGGAAAGATTTCTGAATCGTAGCCATGACAAAATAGCATGGTTAGTCATTGTGGATGATGATACGTTAATAAGGTAAGGAGTCATTCTCATCCTAAATGGTCTTAAATTCTACATATTCAAAAACTATGATGGGTACTTCTTCTTCCAGCCAAAGTAGAGTAACAGGAATGGGATTTACCCTTCCATCTGAAACAACCTCCCCAACGAACAAAATATATGAAATATAGGTTGTTAAGACACTAGACATCAGGCAGCAAAGGGCAGTGATCCCTGAGAGCCGTGGTGCAGGTGAGGTGAGCCTGTGGCTGACTTGGAGTCCGTGTTACTGCTAAGGGAAGGGGCTCCAGGCGGAACCAGCAGACTCTGAGTGGAGGGGATGGAGCCGAGAGTCTTAGGAGATGTAGACTGTTAGAGTTTGCAGGATGGAGTACCAGAGAGAAGAGAGCTACACAAAAGGAACCTTGGAGATACACGGAAGGTCCCCCTAAGTATTCAGTGGAGTATTGATGAGCGCATATGTGTGAGGAAACCACCCGAGGCTAGGGCAAGAAATAACCAAAGTGATTAGAGGGAATTAGGCCTGACACTCACACAGGGCTGGGTGTAGTGCCTGTTCCCACCAGCCAGGCTGGGAAACCCGTTATTCACAGGGTAATGGGTAGAGTTTGTACAAGGGTCTTGCCACAACAGTGGGGAATAGTTAACCCTAGACTAAACCCTAACAAATCTGAAATCCTACAATCTCTAATCCTGCCTAACAAATATGAAAAGGAAGACCCAAAAATATCAAAGTTTTTCCAACTAACAAGCCTGTATCTGAGAAAAAAACTCAAGATTTATAGAAATACAAGAATGTCCAGCACTCGAGAAGGTAAAATTCCCAATGCCTGCCATCCAGTCAAAAGTTACCAGATGTGCAAAGCAGTAGAAAATTAATGAGGTGAAAAAAAAATCAGTTTATTGAAATTGTCCTAGAATTGATACAGTGGTAGAATTAGGAGTTATCAAACTGTTACTATTAAACAGTTATTATGACTCTGTTCTGTATTTTCAAAAAAGAAACATGGAAGATCTCTTAGTCTGAAGTCTGAAACCATACGTATAGAGATGCAAACTAGTCATTGCAGAAGAAAATATCATGAACTTGTATATGTTATAGCTATCCAAAGTAAAGCACAAAGATAAACAATAATTTTGGAAAATGAACAGAGCATCACTGAGCTGTGGGACAATTTCAAGTGGCCTTGTATATATGCATTTAGAGTCCCCAGAGAGAAGGGACATGTAACAAATATTTAAAGAAATATTTTTCCAAATTTGAATGAAAACTATAAGCCTACAGCACCAAGTAGCTCAGTGAACCCCAAGCACAACTGTGAGCTCGAAAGGAGAACACAACCACCTCCAAGAATGCAACGATGACGCCATCTTTAGCAACATCTTGTCTGGCATTTATTGCATCTGTAACTACATCATTTGTGCTGTCAATCTTTAGTATAGCCATTCCACCTGAAACTTTTGCCAGATGTTCACTTTTTCTTTTTTATTCATAGTCACTAGCAATAATATCTAACTGCACAATGATGTCTTAAATGTGGTTTTCAGTTGAGCCTTGTTATCTTTTCCTTTCAAGACTCCGACATCTCCCTTGGTCACAATGAACTGTCCAGCTTTTCTTAAGTCATGAGGCTGAATAATTCTAAGATTTAGGGTCAACCCCTCTTTTTCATGATTAACAATAGCCACATCTTTAAGTTGATCTTTCTATTATAACAGAAAGTTGGAGTTTTGACTTCTAGAAGACCAACAGACATTTGGGGACATGAAAAATATCTGGAATGTAAAATTCAAAAACTAAAAAAAAAAAAATAGTGGACAACAAAGAGGGAAGAAATGAAACCAGAATTTAATGGACTCAAGAAAGAAACAGAAGAAAATGACAAATTCATATCTGAAATTATGACTAAATTATAAAATACTAAAATGTAAACAAATTCAAATGAAAATTTACTAAGGGACATGGATGAAAATTAAGAAAGCAATCAAGAAAATGAAAATGGGATAAAGAAGATAAAAGGGTTAGAGAAAGAGTGGTTGAGATGAACATGGCAAAGAAGTCCATTACATGTGTAATTGGAGTCCCTGATTGAACAACATCAAAAAGACAGAAATAATATTAAATTACCAGAAATAGAAGGAGACCTTATCGTGTATATTGAAAGGGCCCACTGGGTACCATGGGAAATAGACCTGGAATTGCCAATTTCTTCACATGTCTTAGTAAAATGATTAGATTTTAAAGGTAAGTCTTCTGAGTCTCCAGGCACAATGATGAAATAACTAAAAAGCAAGGAAATTAGACTGGCATCCGACTTCTCAAAATAGTATGAAAAGCCTGGTAAGCAGTGGAGGCACATTTGTAACTAACTCAAAGAAATTGCGAATCACAGATTTTTTTATTTGGTAGAGCCAAACTGTTTTTGCTAATGTTTCCTGATTCAGTTTTATCTTCTTTTGAAGGTCATAATTCTTTTCTTTTACAATTGCAATGTCCTTGAAGTATTTCTTTTCTTTTTCCTGGTTCTGATTTTTTATTGTGTCTATTCCAGTCTCAGCATGGCAGTTTCACCCTGCAATATACAGTTTGTGCTCAACAGATCTTTTTCTTTTTCATGACTATGAGAAACCTCAGAATTCATTTTCTTTTGGGCCATTTCTATCTCCTTTTGTCTGCAAAGGCAACTGGTCAGAATCCCATCTTAGAACATTCTGGCATTGTGTTCTCTAGAGAGTTGCCTCTGGGTGTCATTTTGCTCTTGTACTGCGTTTACCAGTTTATTACAAAGGACGTCACAACAGACACGGATGGAGAGATGCACAGGGCGAAGTGTAGGGCGAGGGGTGCAGAGCTTCCACGCCCTCCCTGGGCGCCACCCTCCAGGAACCTCCACACGTCCAGCTATGGGGAAGCTCCTTGTTTTATGTTTAAATATGTAAAATATTAGCATGTTTCCTATAGCAGTCAGAGCTATTCAGAGAGACAGGACCAATGGGACGTATGTGGACTGGAGTTAGTCGGGAGGGCTGGCTCATGTGAGGGTAAAGGTGAGGCTCCAGGATGGGCTGATAGGCCGTCTGCAAGGCGGGGATGAGCAAAGCCAGGCGCGGGGCTCAGTCCAAGTCCAAAACCTCAAAGCCAGGAAAGCCAACGGTGCAACCCCAAGTCTGGGCTGAAGGCCTGAGAGCGCCAAGAGGCTGCTGGTGCAAGTCCCAGAGTCCAAAGGCCAAAGAACCTGGAGTCGATGTCTAAGAGCAGGGGGATAAAAAGTGTCCCACTCTGAAAAGTGGAACGGGGAGAGAGAGGAAACTCAGCAAGCTGGATGTCCCCCTTCTTCCACCCGCTTGTTCTAGCCGCATGGCAGGTGATCGCGTGGTACTCCCACACTGAGGACGGGTCTTCCTCACAGTCCACTGACTCCATGTCAATCTCTTCTGGAAACATCCTCGCAGACACACCCAGAAACAATGCGTCACTAGACATCCCTCAGTCCAGCCAAGATGACACCTAATATTAACCATCACAAGTCCACCCCCTTGTCGACTTGGCACCCATATGCATTTCCTTAAACCTTACTTGATCCCCAGATAAAGATAACAAGGGCAGAATGCTACCTAATATAAATCAACTATCCTTCATCCAACCGAAAATGCATTAATCCCCTAACTTAAATACTATTATGTAAAATTAGCAATACTTAAATGCTGATATGAAGTCAGTAACTCTTACATTACATAACAAAGGAATAAGAAAGGACATAAGACAAAGATATTTGCTTAATACAGGTGTCTGTGCACACATGTATTCTCAACAAGACAAGGAGGAAGTACTCATGACAGTTACGGTCCTCGTTTCCATAATGGTCATGTGGTCGTCACTGGTATCTATACCTTCTTCTGCCACCCGTTCTGTATTCTCTCTGCCTGCAGCAAGCACCTCAGCTGCTTGTGGTTTTTTACCTGCAGGAGTGACACAAACCTTCATTCCTGGAGGCTTGGGCCACTCAGTCCTGCCATGATTGGGTTGTTGCATCTCCTGTAACCTTAATTACAGGGCAGGGTAATTGTAAGAGATGAAGGGGTCTCCTGCATTCCAGGCCTGGTCTTCCCCACCTCCACTGTGGAGTATAGTCCACTCTGCCCTTGCTAGTCTGGTCAGTCACCCCGGACAACACCGCAAATCCCTTCTTAGCCTGCTGACTCAGAGGCATGAGGGGCCCGAAGCGGCCAGGGGGCAGTCTTAATTTCCAGTTCAGTGGAATTGCTGTTGTGCCTCCTGGTAGAAGTACTCTTGCTGCTGGAATTAAGACCTCTATAGCCAGCAGAACATAATACCATAGGAACAGGAAGCAAAAATTTTGCTAGTGGGTCACTAGGGGTGATGGTGATGGTAATGGTGCCATTCCCATTCCACCTCTTGATTCCTGGACCCGTGGATCCCAGCCGTGGGAGAAGCAGTACCACATACTGGATGCTGATTTAGAACATACACAGCCTTCTGGAGAACTGTGCTCTAGCCCTGTAGAGCACTGTCACCTGGCTGGTGCTGTAACTGCGACTTCAAAAGACCATTGCACCGTTCTATGAAGCCAGCTGCTTCAGGATGGCGGGAACATGGCCAGACCAGTGAATGTCACAAGCGTGAGCCACTGCTGCACTTCTTTGGCTGTGACGCGAGTTCGTCCAATCACCATGAGAAATGGTGCCATATCGAGGGCTCAGTGTTGGTCTCTGCTGCTGGCAGACTGGGCACTCAGCGCTAGCCGCAGCCAGGTCTTCCTTGGTGAGTGGACATCCATGTTGCTGACCACATGCGTAACCTCCACCCCTGCCACCATGGCCACTTTGTTCATGAGCCCACTGGGCCACGATGGGGTGGCTGGGGAAAGAGGCTGAGTGATGTCTACAGAACAGGTCTGTTCTTGATTAGTAAAGTCCTCCCCTGCTGAGATCACCCATTGGTGACCATTTACATGAGGCATAAATATCTCCACATCTTGTGCCCACTGAGAACT